ACAGTATTTTGTAATAAAAATAAACTACAATTCGCGACAAAATTAAATCAAATCAAATCAAAAATTATTTGTTCATGTTTAGTTTCTTATGAACGTCAAATTTTTTGTATTATATTTTTTCCTATCGTCTCAGTATACAGATTCAATTGAGAAGAACTGACATTTTTTTCGGACTACTCTAATGCTGTTGGCCGCAGCTGGCCTTTACAGCTTCATCGGACGTTAGGGGGCGAGTGCAGATGGCACTCCAAACCCGCGGAAGGACTTATGGAGCGGCTGAACTCCTGCCTGACGGATACGACTTTAGTCTGAGGGCACCACTAGGGGTTCGAACCTCGGCTCAGGTCGTCGATTACGACGGCCTGAGTCGAGTTATATATCGATCCCCGTTTGAATTGGACGGGGGATAGATCGGAGGGGAAGAACTGACAAGAAACTCAACTGAATTTATTTTTTCAACCAGCCAACCAGACTGAGTACCTACGTACGTACGTAGCAACTGGGTTATTAGTCCACATTACTGACAATCTCCTTCCCCCAGCTCATAGGTATTGCCATTGTAAACAGAGAAAACATCGTAGTTGCGTAATATATATCTATCAACTTAATAATTAGTAATTCTTATAATGGTATCAGCTAGTGAACACTTTTATAACTGAAATTCCTCGACCCACCTAACTTTTTTTTTTGCCACCGGCTTCTTTCCGAATAAACAACTGTCAAACTGGCGGTGTTCCCACAGTTCCCACATACTCACAAACTTTCGCGTTTATAATATTAATAAGATAAGATTTTATAAGATTAGACAGTTTGTATTGGGGCTACTGTTGCCGTTTGCTTCACCGCGTACCCACATAACGGACTGTCTGGATTACGATGGGATCAGATCGCATTCTTATGTACTACCCAGTTACTTAATTAATGGGGGTCGCGCATTTTACTGTTATTAGTGCATATTGTCAGGTTGGTACGAGTCTAACAACCGACTTGACAAAAGGAGGTAATTAATTTTTTTTTTTATGTTATGCGATAATTTTACTAATGTTGTATGTCTGTATTGGTCTGGATGTTTTTTTAATATATAGGTATTATACGTGTATCTTATAACGACTTGTGGAACAAAAGTAACTGAATTTGTATATCTGACTAACTCCCCGGTAAACTGTGACATCCATAACAAACTTGTACGAGTTCTATAGGGATGCAATAATTAATAAATAATTTTACAGGATAAAACGAATATTATTATACAAATAAAAATTAGATTTTCTGTTTGTTTGTGATGAAAAACTCATAAAAATTATTTAGCCGATTTTTCCAAATTTTTATCTATATATTGCCAAATTAGCAAGTAACCTGACTGTATTTTATTTAAAAAAATATAGACATTTCTATGATAATAGTAGCAAGTAAGGTGCGGGTTCCTAGTTAGCAATTATAAGTATTACAAATTACTATTGAAAATTAATGTTAAACTAATAGATATTCATACAAATATTATAAATAATAAAAGTGTGTCTATCCATCTGTCCGTTTATTACCTTCTTACGACTAAACGGCTGGACAGATATGAATGAAATTTGACTTTACGATAGGTTGTACTACAAGGAAGACATATATGCAATCTTTTATTTCAAAAGCCATCAATAAAATAAATAAATAACTCTGCCCAATTAACACAGGGCCATCTGGTCCCATGGTGAGCAGAGCTTGTGTTATGGGTATTAGACAACTGATACAAATACTTAGATATTTTTTTGTAAATATATGCATAATATATATTGAAAACTCTATATCTGGGTGTTATATATAAAAAATCATACTCATAAATTCAAATGTCCGCACCGTACCAGGAATCGAACCTGGGACAATCAGAATTAAAGCAGTGTGCTAAACCATTAGACCACAGGTGCCGTAATAATGGGAGTGTAAAAAGGGATGAAAGTTCAAGCAAAGTCGCTGGTGACAACTAGTGTTAATGTAAAATGAGTAGGATGCGTGTAAATGTAGCAATTCATTCACAATATAAGGTATTAGATTTCAACTTTATCTAGAGATCTGCACGCACTGGTATTCAATTTTATAGCAACAGAAAATAAGAGAATGCTGGACTTGGTTTATATCAGAGTAGGCACTATCGGGACTTGCTTTCCGCATTCCAAACGGAACTTGAATGTTTTCAGCAAATAAAACTTTATATATGTTATATATCCCACTTTTAATATTATTTTAATACTAGTTGACCCAGCAAACGTTGTTTTGTTATATAAATTATAGTACTGATATCGCTATAAATAAGTACGAGTTGGTGGTGGGAGGGTGAAAATTTAGGATTTAGCGTGAAAAAAAATAAAAATATTGTCCAAAAAGAAATTAGGAGTGGACAGCCCTTGGCACTTAGGGGTATGAAAAATAGACAGTAGCCAATTTTCAGATCCACTGAATATGCATATAAAATTTCATAAAAATTTATCAAGTCGTTTCAGAGGAGTATGGTATAACTAACATTGTGACACGAATATTTTATATATAATATTATAATTTGTATCAATTTGCTAATTTTAATAATGTAAATATAACTCTTTCATATCGTTCCGTTGCTTTAGTCCATATTGAAAAAGTTAAATAACTTTGGCGCCAAAATGCAGATAAAAAATAAAAAAGAATTAATATAGTATAGATTCTGTCAGATCTATAAATGACAAAAAGATTGTTTTTTTGGTCTCGAACAGAACTTCGATGTGATTTAGAGAATCATGCCATTTCAACCGTCTCGGTGGTCTAGCGGTTCAGCACAGTGCTTAACTTCCGATGGTCGCGCGTTCGATTCCCTGCACAGTACAATCATTTGTATTCATAAGTATGACAGGTATGGGGTTATTAGTCCACATTACTAACAATTTCCTTCCCCCATGCCCAAGTATATTATGTATATATTTACAAAAAAAAAGCATTTGTATCAGTCTATCCATAACACAAGCTATGCTTATCTCAGGACTGGATGACGCTGTGTGAATTGTACAGAGTAATAAAAATAAAAAATAAAATTAAGCTGTATAAAAAACTGTTTCATTCATCAATCTAATCATTATATAAGAAAACCTGATGTTTTTTTCCATCAAAACAAATGTAAATATATATAATAATAAAAGAGTCTAAATATAAATGCCATACGCGACATCATAATAACGGAAGTCATGTTCGTGCTCTCACAAGAATAACAAAAATATCTTCTAATTAAAACAGCGAACAGACAGCGTTAGAAATAACTATCTTAATAATTATAGCACAATATATTGCGCTAACGGCGAAGATTTCTACCATTTGCCGTGTCCCAGAATTGAACTTACGCCCACAGCGGCCGACCATTTCTTTCTATACCTAATACTACTATACCTAGCTAAAATTCATAGTGAAATAAGTATAAGAAACTTGCTTCTAAAAAACTTACGAGTACATAAAGAACTAAGTTTAAAAATAATAACTTTGATAAAGGACTTTATACACCAGGCGACAGAGTCGGAAATTTGTTGGGTTAAATTAAACGATGCGACGTTCTTTTATGTTGTTGCATTGCAGCAGTGCAGGCCAATGCTCGGTGCATACAACTAAGTAGTGACGCGAATATCGTTGTAACAGATATTAAAAATAACGAAATAACGGTTTATTTTGCAAACGAAAATAACAACGGTTAAATATCAATAATTTGATATTAAGCATCTTCAAATTTATTAAATAATCATAAATTATTTACTTGTTGAAATTTTTTAAAATGAGAACAATAATTTATTTATTTGTTAGAAGGATAATGTACTGCAAAAGAACGGCTGGTTTAATTACAATAAAATTAGTCTAGAACCAACATAGAAGTATAAATTATAGATTTAAAATATAAATGTGAGAATTAGTTCGTCATGAGTGAAAATATCGCGGAATATAAATGCAAAAAACCTAGTGCTGCCTTTTTAAAAAGGATTATATTTAACACTACGCAGGTATTACGATACATTTAAATAATGTTATATCAAAAGTATATTATGCAATAAGCTATTTACTTGTTTTGCTACTTAATTGCAGTTATTTTTAATAAATTAAAAATTTCTCAAAATAACTGTTATTTAAAAAATAACTGTTCTCGAAGGAACAAGTCGCATGCGCAAGTTACTTGGTCTGTGCCTGTAAGCGCTCAATATAGGCTAAAACATATTATTATATGCAAGACGTTTCTTGTACTACGCGAAATCTAGGGCTGCCTTCTCTAATACAATACAGAATTGAACTAAAAGGGTAATAAAATCAGTTTTATAATCTTGGTATGCGCTTCTATTTTATTTGATTTCTAATCGTAAGTATTAAGCAGTTATTTTACTTTAATATATATTGTTACAACATTTCTATTGCTTTTAAGGGTTTTAAATATTAAATATTTTTGTATTTAATGTCAAGAATAAGTAAGTTTTCAGTATTTTATATGTGGTTAATGCAATATATTGGTCAATTCTGAACCGATTTCGTTGATTCTTTTAGTAATTATTTATTCTTAGAACTTATACGAAGCGTTCCTTCACTAATTTAATGATAAATGAAAACGTTTTATTTCTACAGATAGAATGCTTACGCTAACAATATGACTATTAAAATTTTATTATTCAATAATGTAGATATCAAGATTTTATTTTATTTTATATAACCAAGTAAATCTAATTCCCTAAAACAATTATTTGATGCGTGAATATCGTTCATGTATTAAATAAAGTGCGTATATTAACAGATGTTTTATATATAATCTTCAATCGAAACCTAGGATTAGAATACAGCTAATACCTAACACAGCCCTACGCCCCGCAGGCAAATATGAACGAATGTAAGTTGACTTAGAATAAGTATGTTCTGCAATCGAGAGTCGGCCAGTGTTAGATCATAATGTGTTGAAACAGCTTGTGCGCGCAACATTATCGTTTGAAAACAATGAAAACGTAGCCATTTTCGAAAATTCCAAATAAGAACTATAGTCCCATCTCTAGACGCGTCGATGAGAACGCGCGAAATTCCATTTTTGAATTTCGGCCGGCGGACATGTCGAAAACGCGTTCGATTTTTAAAAAGGTGACAGTTTATTTTTTTAATACTTACTCGAAGGACTGGTAAAGAAATGTTTTACTGAGTCATACAGCCAGGGAATTGAGAAAAATGCAATTTAACAGCGGTCGTTGTTCCGTGAAATTGAAAAAAAAATATTAGTAACGGCTAAGGATATAAAAATATGTGCGTAATTCGTCGATAAAGTTTCAATCGTGCGGTATTCGAACGAGATTATTCTTATTGTTTTAAAGAAAGAAAACTGCCGGTTTGTGTTTTTATTGTGTCTTTGGACTTTTCAAAGTGTGGAGAAAGAAAACAAGGTTAGTTACTCATCTATACTACTGTTTTTATTTAATGCAAAGTTAACATTCATAATGCTTTAAGTGTATGAGAAATTACAGCGACCAATTTCGTTTAAAATGTTTTATTTTCATTCATAACTGTGCAATACAAATGCATTCAAAACTTAATGAAAATTTTCGAATATAAATGGAAGTAAATTTAAATAGTTCCACTCTATAGCCATGAAGAGAATTAAAAACATATTTATTATAATTAAATATATGACCAATATAAATATGTTGTTAGGTATGTTTGTATTAATGTAAAAGTACTATTCTTCTTTATGGTTACACGAAGTATAGACAAAGGGGACTCCTTAAATTTACTTCATTATTATAAATTTATTATATTATTACTGTAATTAAATTATTGCGTATCTCAGTAATTAAAAAATTTATATATTAAAGGTAGGATTTAGGTTTTTACGGAAATGGGAATTGCAGCTTAGAATTTGTTAGTTACAATTAAATTATTTTCACTTTTCACTAAATCGGCTGTGCACGACGCACCTTTTTAGACTTTTATTGTATGTTTTTATATATATTTACAATTCATTTTCTATTGTTCTATTATTTGTCACTTTTGAAATATATGTCTTTTACCATCAGCGCATGTAGTTTCTCTTCCAACTAAAAATAAAATATATACAGTCCTTAGAAACCACTTACATAGTCATTAAAACTGGCACTGATACTCATATAGAATCTATATTAGGTATAGCTATTACCAAAAAGTTTTTGATTAAGGCATAAATATAAGAATGCAGTAAAAGTTTATATCAAATATATAGAATTTTGGTAGTACAGTGTTTGTAACAAAACTCCTCCGAAACGGCTTCACCGATTCTTATGAAATTTTGTGTGTATATTCAGTAGGTCTAGGAATAGGACGCAAACTATTTTTCATGCCCCTAGGTTACAAGGGCCGTCGACCGCAAAATTTTTAGACTATATTTTTTTAATTAATACTATTAAACATAGATAGATTGTCTAGTACCTAATGGCAAATGGCGCTGTGTAAATTGTCCAAGGATATTATTAGTGTTATTATAATTATTACTTGCGACTCGAATTCCTTTTCTTTCATTTTTTTTTAATAATGGGCTATTGAACGCCCTTTGATCGAAATTTCAGTTAAAAAAAAGTTCTCTATGACTTCAAATTGGGGCAAATAGAAAAGTAACAAGCCTATGCGCATATTAAGAAATACTTTGTGGACTTAGTTTTTCTAAATAGACTAGTTGACCCGCACAACTTTGTCTGCATAACACTTACTTGACATTTATCATCATTTTTGTCTTTTTAAATTATAGCCTATACGTTATGTATAAGCTATATTACTATAAAGTTTCAGCAAAATCTATTCAGTACTTAGTAACAAACATCCATACTCATAAACAAATATGTAAGATTTAGTTATTCTTTATAGATATACATAGTGACTTCCAGAAATGGCGGGAATCTTTTATTGTATTTTTTAACACATGATGTGATGTCGAAATAACGGAATTAATTTATATAGCTTTTTTTAAACTGATAGTAGTGATGTTTCACATACCTATTGGTCCCATATAAATTAATTCAGAAATGTGATGATATTTTTGTGTAAATTGTTAGTTGTTTTGTCGTGTTTGTTTGATACAAATTCATAGATTTTTTCATAAATACATACATATTATAAATAGAAAACGCCCAGACCGACACAAACAATCGTACTCATGAATACAAATATTTGTGCAGTGCGAGGAATCGAATCTGCACCATCGGAAGTAAAACGGTGCGCTAAACCGCTAGGACCACCGAGGTATTTCCATAGTTATAAATTTACTTTTCGTTAGGGATCTAAGAGATCTGAAAGTTGACAGATAAATAGAAAATACCATATCTGCACCATAACATACCGTTTCTCTATACTCTATTCCATGTCTACGAATATACATTTTAAATAATAGTACAGAAATAATAACTCTTAAACGCTCAAGACCATAAAAAAACGCTAACAATAAGTGCCACAGTAAAACTGCAATAATTTAATGTTTTCCTCATATTTTTCACAATAAAATGGAAAAATTTTTAGTGCACTCAGTAAAAACTATGCACTAACGTATAAACACATAAGTACACATACAAACACACACATGGGACATGTTACGCAACGCACTGAGCGGTTTTGTGTACGTACTTTGCATGTTTATAACAAATTGGTCCGTTTCCATTGTCTACGTCCGATTTTCTTTATTAAAAGTAATACGATGTTCATGTCACGAAATAATCGAGTTAAGTATTGGTCAAAAACTTTTTCTTTATGTCTTCTGGGTAAGCGCGCTACATCCTAGGACTTGCCATTATTTACCATCAAAAACTAACAATTAGATATTCACCAAATTTTATGGGACAATCAAATCAAAACCACAATCAAATAATACACATTTGAATTGAGTAATTCTTCCTTCTTAATTTTATATATTATACATAGATAACACCCAAACCGATACAAACAATCATAATGAAGGATACAAATGTTTGTACCGAACGGGGAATCGAACCCGCGATTGACTAAAATAAGGCGATGTGCTAAACCGCAAGACCACAGAGGTCTTCATTGAAGGAAGCTCTTATTATCGTTGCTTTAATTTAATCTTTCTTGAAGCTCAGTTCAAGAAAGATTCATTGTAAGTATTCCTACATTTATTAAGAGGGTGACAAAATCGTACCTTTTACAATGGACACCTACAGAAGTGGATAGACTATCTTAACATATACGTGAATTTACATACATTTCAATAAAATGAGGCGACCCCACTTGGAAAAATGTCGTAGCGCTACCGGGAATCGAACCGAGATTTCTAGATAAAAATCGATCCGGTTTTTATCACAGTTATGGCTAATGTACGCACGCCGCTATTGCAAAGTTAATGGCAATCTCAATATACGGTACTGTTATATATATATATTCTATATTTGTGGGGAGAAAGGTAAAAAAAAAAACTATACATTATGTCAAAAAAGATTTATAAGTTGGCTTTACTACCGATGATCCCGGGTTCGATACCTCGCATGATGCACACTTTTGTATTCATGATATTTATGTATTTTTTTGTGAATACATATCTATATATAACAATAAAATTGTAATATTGAAATAACCGTTTTTTACTACATGCATATGAATATAAATACGGTACATAAATCAAAATATTTTTTTTACAATATTTGTGTGTCTGTTTGTTCCGTCTAATCTCTGGAATAGTTGGACCGATTTTGACTTTTATTGGCAGGTAGCTGATGTAATAAGGAGTAACTTAGGCTACTTTTTGTGAAACTCCACGCGGACGAAGTACAAGAACAATAGATACAACTGATGTGAACACATAGAGACTGTTCTTATGTATTTCTATCAGTTGTACAGATTACACAAGTTTTACTTAGCTTCGGACTAGATGGCGCTGTGTGGATGGGTTAGGGTTACTATTATTAATAAATAAACAGTGTCATAGACATGATAAAAAATTTCATTAAATTCGACAAAATATTTATAAATAGTTAGGAATTAAAATTTTATTTGTTTAAAAGAGCAACACGTAAGGCATTCGTCTTGTGAGTAGAGCGATTCCAATGAGTGGTAGAATAAAAGGATATGACTATTCAAAATTTTATTTGAAAAGTTTATTTGAATATAATTTCTATTTATATTAAATGAAATGAAAGCATCATCCATATTACCCCTCGTGCGTTATCATTTAAAAGGATAACCGATAAGGTATTGCGTAGTGATCGAATTTCACAACGATATTTTATTTTTCAAATGGAGACAGTCATGCGAACACAGCTGCTTGGCGGCAAAACGTGAGTGATACAAAGTTAATATATTATGAATTTTTGTGAAATTAACACTAAAACACCAGTTTAGCATACCGCCTTACTTCCTATGGTCACGGATTCGATTCCTCGCACTGAGTAGCATCGTAATCATGAGTAGCATTGTTTGTATCGGTATGGGTGTTTTTTATAATACTAGCTACTCGCCCCGGCTTCGCACGGATATACACGCAGTATATATAAACCTTCCTCTTGAATTACTCTATCTATTAAAAAAAACTCATCAAAATCCGTTGCGTAATTTATACGATTTTAGCATACATAGGGATGGACAGACAGCGACAGCGACTTTGTTTTATACGATGTAATAATGATGATATATGTAATTACGAGAAAAAGTATATATCTGTGTATTTGTAGCAGTTGTCTAGTACCCATAACACAAACTTAACTTGGATCTAGATGGCGCTGTGTCAATCGTCCTGAAAAAAAAACATCGTCAGAAGTGTATCAAAATACCATTTTTGAGAAGGTGATTAATCCTCTTAACAGCATGATGTTCCATAATTAAGATACGTATAATAAATACTTTAAAGACGTAGACCCCTTTAGATATTATTCTAAAAGCACATATAAAACGAAACTCATTCATATTCTTAATCATAACTTAAGCTCTTTAATTATACACGCACACACATTCTTTCTTACAGGTCTAATAATATAAATAAATAGTATCTAATTCAGATACTATTATAATATCTGTAATTCTTAAAGTTATTCTTAAAATTGTTCTATTAGTTTTAAATATTGTGAAATTTATAATATTTGGTACTTTTAAACGAACGTTCTGGACTTCATCAAACCTGAAAACTAACTCGCGTCTAATAAATAACTAAATAAATAAATAAATAAATAAATAAATAAAGAATAGTCCTTTCAACAAAGCTCAGCGCCAGGTCATAAAGCTGGACCCAAGGTTAGTTGGAAACGAACGTTCTGACTTCATTGAAAATAGTTAATCTTAGACATTTGTTTGTGATTTTGTCGATAAATTATACAATATCTATAACTACATAATCATCCGTATAGACTCTCACTAAAAAGAACTATTTAAATTTTATTTTTTTTACAAAATTACATAAAGTTTATCCGTCCTATTA